TTAATTAAAAGTATTAATCGGTTGACTTATGTTATGATTATTCAAATTGTTGATGGGCAAAATGATAAGAAAAGCGGACATTATATCCAATTTTATTCGAAATCATAAATTCCGATAAATTCCATTTAGATATAGAAAATTGTAAAAAATCACTGATTTGTTTCGCAAGTTATGAGGGTTAGGTACCAGAAGGGTTTGTCAGATCATCTTCACAACATATCTTGTGTTAGCAAAAATGTTTGTATGTGTGAGTTGTGACGACAGTTGGATGCTTATTTCGCTTTCTTTGAGCGTTTTGTTTTTCAAAATCTTGGACCTTATGTGGGAGAGGTACCAGAAGAAATAATACGATCTCTACCATCATTATAAGAGATCTTGTGTTGCTGGAAATATTGAGATGTGTCAAGTCTGAATGGCATCTACCGTTATTTCGCGTTTTATTAGCTTCATGGATATTCCACATTTTGACGCTTTGTGGGGGAGGTACCAGAAGCAGTGGAACGATAAATTCCATCTTCACAGCAGATCTTGTGTTAGTAAAAATAATGGGATGTGTGAAATATGAAGAGAACCGGATACTTATTTCGGATTTTATAATCGTTTTGGTGGGTATTCAAAACTTTGACCCTTTGTGGATGAGGTATCAGAAGGAGTGGACCTTTGCCATCTACGACCTCGATCTATCGATGTGAATAATACGAAGTACCAAGTTTGGACTAAATCGGATATTCCCTTCGCGAGTTATCGTGCGCACCAACCAGCAGACAGACAGCCAGACAGACGGACGGATGGACATCGCTAGATGGACTCCAAATGTCCTGAAACAGGTTTGGTCTAAAATCGTTATTCCGATGAGGCACGTTTTGGCCGTATCACATGATTTATATCCTCTCTAGCCATATGGACCAATTTTTCATTTTTTATGAATTTGTTTTAGATTCTGAGACATATGGCTACAGGGATATTCCTAATTTGATGCGATCAAAGCTTGTCTAATCGAAATTACAATTTTACACCCTAGGTTTCCTTGGTTGTAATCTGCTTTATTGTATTTGGAGTCGATCTAACGATGTCCATCCGTAAGTAGCTTTCGAAGAAAGTATACGATATTATTGTCAAACTTATACTGAACTAGAAAATGGTCAATATAGGACCATTTCTTCTGGTACCTCCCCATAAAAGGTCAAAATTTTTATAGAAGGAGTAAGGATTCTGATGTTGTTCACACCTCGTGTATCTCCATATTTTTACCAACCATATATATAATGTGGAAATGGGGTATATTAACTCACTCCTTCTGGTACCTTCTCCAAAGGGCCGACATTTCGAATAATTTTAAGTCTCATGAAATTCTGAAATGTTCACTAGTTCCTTCAAAGTTCAATAAAGATGGGTTCAATTTTTATACTAATCCAGAAAAACTGACAAATTGACTGATAGATTTTAAAATGTTTGGGTAAATTATGACTTTGAAAAATTGTCTATTTTAGCATTACACAAATAAGAAGGTGGTTCAGGTGGGTTGAACCTTTTATTCCCTCCACCAAACTTGAATAAAGGCCAAATCGGCTAACCTCAACATCTTTAAATATCTTCCAAAATTAGAGGATACAACTATGTGGGGTATTATTTTTTTTTTTTGCGAGGAGATAAACTATTTCCTGAGCCTTCACAGCTGATTTATTTAAGAATTGGTTCAAAATACCGAGATTCAAAAGTTATCGCTATATAGGGGTTATATCTAAACGTAGACCAAGGCATTTGATTTTTAATTTCAAACATCCTAGGAATAGTATTAATGTCTGTACCAAAATTCCAAGATTCTATCTTTAATATACCGTGTTTTACGTTTATCATAAATATATACACTTTAAGGAGTCTTCGAATAATACTTCGAAGTGTCGCAAACTAAATTTCAAATTTAATAAAATCTCCTACACAATGTGCAGGAATCGTAAAGAATTAATTTAATTTTTAAAGAGTTTAAAAATTAAATTTAATTTTTAATTATTTTTTCAATCTAGTCTAATGCTCAATATCTCGTGTCTAAAACACACCTTGACTTTGCATGCGTCTTCATCCTCATTCGTTTAAATTACGCCGTCTGTCTTATCCAATACCCCTATTTCATAAAAATAAACACAAATAGAAGAAGAAGAAAAAAAGAAAATTTCAGATCATGTCTGCAATGGCAACATGTAAAAATGAATTGTGAAATGATTTCATTTCTGGCTGACCTTGTGATTGAAAATGATAATTCACTTTGGTTGTATGATAGTGTGTGTGTGTGGGGCATTTTAGTAGCTATCAAAACAGTTCTCTTGTCATAAACTTTATGATATTTTTATAACTTGGCCAATGTGACATGATCATCACACGGCTGTATTTGTCTGTGTGTGTGTGTCTGATTAATCAAATACTACTCGTTCTAATGAGGCTATCAATCAATATCGTTTTCAGGCGTATGATAAATTAGATGCATCACTCATACGTCCCGTGGCTAATGGCATATCAATGAAGTCATTGAGAGTAATTAGAAACTTTAAAAGCTTTATTTGCAATGGATATTTGGGAGAGAGAGGTGGACTGCCTCCACCGCAAAACAATAAAGTCAGAAACCACAAAGTAGAATTCTCCCGGCTCTTATTGTTTTGCCGTTTCATTTTGTTTCGTTAACGCACCTCTGCTCTGTTGTCGTTTCCTTTAATTCTTTGTTTTGCCGCCCCTCAGTAAAGAATTGTTTGCTTCGTTCACTTCGCAAATTGCGCTGCATGCCAGCCAACTGGTTTTGTTTTTCATTTCATTTCAGTATAATTTGCGCGTTTTAAGCATTTACAGGCTTCACGGGCCGGTCTTTTAGTGAAAACAACAGCTGAGAAAAAATAATATTTTATTTCTCTTCCCAAAGAAACTCCTTGCAAAACAAACCATTCTCACATCTCAAAACAGTGCGTGTTTAGTGGTCATAAACCTGTAACGAAAAGGAAAAACATTTCCAAGTGCGATTTAATGATATGACACAAATTGACGTCATCGCTGAAACTATGAACACCAGAACAGTTATCCAACTAAGTAAAATCCGTAATTTGCCACAATGTTGTGGCCATTTCCAGACAATCAATGAATAAACAAATCCACCAAAACAAAAAAATTGATATCAAATCGATTCAATTGTTATTGTCTTTGTGATGGGGGAGGGCATTTTCTGGAAAATGTGAAAAGCAGGCAATGAATCTGAAATTTGTTTACACACTCGCTCGACCCAGGGGCGCCATTTGCATTGACCAATCAGTTGGCTGGGTAGGCCAGCAAAGCCATAACGGAGACCACAAAAAGTGCCGATACATCATCGACGATATGAAAGGTCATTGTACTGCCTGCCATTTGTGAAGGGTAAGTTGTGGTTGTTGTAAATAATGCGGAGAGAGATTCATGCTCGCTTGTCCACGTAAGAGCATAGTTCAATCATGTTATGCCATTTCTTAAGAAGATTAAAGCGCACAAATGTTATTTGCGTACATTTGTTTTTTGCGGGGCGATAGGGTTATACATTATGAACTTCAAATTTCGAATTTTAAGTTAGTCCGTTTGAAATTTTTGCTAAAATCGTCAAAATATCGAGTATCGAGAGATACAAATATATGGGACCTATACGAAGACGTCGACATATACAGGGTGAGATAAAAAAACTGCAACAAAGTCAAACGCAAAAATTTGTATCCGGAGATTTTGGTGGCCATTGTGCGCTGGAAATGAAGCTAGGAACCTCAGTTTGTAAACAATCTTGGGTGGCGCGTGTTGAGTGCGATGGTGCTGAGTCCTTTTGGAATGTCCAAGGTCTGCGGCAAAAGTGTTTGCGTGCCCAAGGCTTTAATACACCCTTCAGAATATTTTCGCTATTATATTCGGCATTTATTCTGACGCTACGGTCGATTAATACGGCATTTATTCTGACGCTACGGTCGATTAATACGAGCGGAGAGCGACCATCGGCTGATATGGTGGCCCACACCATTACCATTGCCGGCACTTGAGTTCAGGTGGCCAACCGAAGATGCACATTTTTCGCTGACCTCTTTGGCAAGTAAACACGATAATTTTGTTTTGTTTACAAACTGCAGGACCACGAATGTTTTCTCAGCGGAGAAAACCAAATTCGGTAGTTTACCACTTTCGGCCATGCGAAGTAACTCTTTAGTTCTTTTGAGTCTATTTTTTTTCTGTTGCGGTGTAAGTTCTTGCACTTTTTGGAATTTCAATGGCTTTACCCCGAGCTCATTTTTCAATATTTGCCGAATGAAATATTGCGATATGTTCAGCTCAGGAGCCATTTTTCGGCCACTGCGACGGGGATTTCGATCAAGTCTCTTCTCTACTTTTCGAACCATTTGCTGTTGCTGTTTTCTTCCGTCCACTTCCTTGACCTCGGGCTACGCCACCAGTATCACGGTAATGAGCGATGGTGCGAGACACAAAAGATTTATTCACAATTAAATGCTGGAGTGCTCTAATGATAGCCACTTGTGGTTTTTAAGCAAAATATAAAGAAATCACACTATCACGCTTGAATACCATCACGAATAATTTTTTTCTGGAAAATTCACACCAAAATGCTTTTGTACGCTTGTAAATAATACAATAAGCTGTCACTGGAAAAATGTTAACGGATGTCGGACTAGTGGCTTAGAAATTACAGCAGTCTGAAATTAGTTGCCGTTTTTTCATTTCACCCTGTGCAGACAACGAAATATTTATTCTATACCGTTTTCTATTTCAAAACAATGTTTTCATAAATAACATTTAAAAATTTACTTAAAACTCCGTACCCTCTTTTAAATATAAGTCTCCCGCCGACTGATTACAAGAGTTTTGTTTACAATTTGCTTGCATACTTTTAGGCTGTGCGCAATTTATTTCATACATTATTCCATAACAACAAACAACAGCACAAAAGGCAATTATTAAATTAAAATTTCTTTTTCCACCTTTTTCTTTTGCAGATAAACGCCACAAAGGAATCCCACGAAGTGCCATACGGAAGAAGAAATAAGAAACGTACACTATAAGAAGAACATTGGATAACTGCTACATTCACTCACTCACACACACACACATACACAGAACAACATTTGTTCGCTATTGCAAAATTATTAACCATTGACTGAGTGACTGACTTATTGACTCACAACAAAGAACGGGATTTTGGTTTGCCACAAGACGGTGCTTTCAAACATCTTTTTTACATTAAAGAAGATACATTAAAGAAAACACACAAAAGAAATCACAACAATTGCAGAATTGAAAATTGAAAAGCAAAGCTTTAGGAAAGCTTACAAGGAATTTGCAAATCCAGAAAGAGAGAGAACTTTGTTTGGAAACAAAACAAAAGAAGAAAAACGGTCGGACGAAACCGTTCAATGCTTTGAAAAACGAACTTCATACAACGTCCCAGGGCATTTGTATGAATTATCACACAGACTCAAGCAGCAATGGCAGATAAACTGAAAACGACCTCTAGCATATCGTCGAACACACAACAGGCTTCCGCTGCCCGGCCCAATAGCAGGGAAGCCGAACTGATGACCAAGCTGGCTGAGCACATCAGCGACAGCTATCGAATGGTCAAGCACAGACAGCAAAAGCTGTACGATCTAACGAATCAAATGAAACTGCAAGAACAGAACTCGGCCGCTGGTCGGTTGAGGGGCAAATTGTCATCCGATGAGGAAGAATGGCAGGAGGTGTACTCGCCGAAGAACAAGCTGAAACGCAAGAAGACCCTATCGGCCTCGTTGACATCGGTAACAGATTCTGTGAATCAGGAGAAACGAACTCGTATCGAGGGCATACAACTGAATTGTCGCGGTAAACTCATTTTGAAGGAGAACCAAAACATCAATTCGGAAAGTCAACATCAAAACCCAAAACAACAACAACAAACTCAAGTGCGTTCAGTTAACAGAGCGGAAAAGTCAGAGAAACTAAACGGCAAACCTCCTTTGCCACCCAAAAATGCCAGTCAGAGTGAGAGCACACCCAATGCCACCAACGCCAAGGGCCCAGGTGTTGCCCCACCTCCACCCAGACTCAAGCGTAAGCTTCAGGAGAATGTTCAAACCATACAAAAGTTAAATGCTCTCACCGAGCAATTGCGTTTGGAAATTAATGAACTGAAATCAAGTCTCACCACCGAGAGGGGAGCTGTACGAGTGCTGAGGTAAGTTTGTTGCTAATATTTTTTATACCCTCCACCATTTTATGGAGGGTATATTAACTTTGTCATTCCGTTTTTAACTCCTCGAAATACTCATGTCAGGCCCAAGTACTTGATCGACGCGGAATTCTAAGTCGATTTGGCGATGTCCATTCGTCTGTCTGTCTGTTGTAATCACGCTATCTTTCGAACGAATTGAGATAGAAGGCTACAATTTTGCACACATGTGTGTTTTGCAGGTTAAGTTCGTAAATGGACCATGTTGGTCGCCGTTTTCATATAGCCTCCTCCCAATATTCGGTATTTTGATGATTTTAGCGACACTTTTTACCGAAATCGTATCTAATTTTGTATTTGAAGTTCGTAATGGGCACTACAGCCTATGAAAGAAAAATACCTATGCAGACCCACGTCTTCGGTACCTGCCGATATTCTGTATTTTGATGATTTTAACGGCATTACTCACCGGAATTGTTTCAAATTCTGTATTCCTAAGGTCGGAATCGGTATTACCGGCTGTTTTTTTTTTTTTTACAATTTAATTTCCTTCAAAATGTGGAGGGTATTAAAAGTTCGGCCCGGCCTAACTTAGCTGTTTTTTACTTGTTTAGATTTACCAAATATAAAATGTTTTATAAGAAAATTCTAGTCGACGTTTTTAATTAACAAATTAATTTTCTTTTAAATTTCGGTGATCAACTGTCATCAATTCTCTCTTTCTCTCTCAGTTTGTTGTATACATAGATAAAATGTCACAATGACACACTAATAGTTATTTGTTTGGTCTTAGAATTGAAGCATAGATGGCGTTCTTCATAACAGATGAAAAGTGAGTAGTGTTAGGATGGGGTGACTGAACAAGTAGAGTTTTAACCACGAAGATGATATGCCAATATCAATTAAATTTGAACATTGTGCTGAAAAAGCTAATCGTGTTCACAGAATATGATTAGATTCAATTCACCCTCCAATAATCTGAATATTTTCCGAAATTGCTCAATTTTACAAAATCCGGTAACATATAGTCATAGACTAATAAATATATATACGAAGGAATCCTCTCACCGTTTATCATTGAAAAAATTCCAATCAGCAGACGTCGTCCCCATTGTTTAAAGCGTTTGAGTACAAACTTCTGACTTCTATCACTCAGGTTTAAAATATCAACCACTGTAAAATATTTAAGAACTGTAAAACAGCCTCCAACATTATGTCATCAGAAAATATTCAATTAAATTGCTTTCGAAGTCGAGTGAATCGATCACACACACCTGACCGCACAAAAACTGTTTTTGCGACATCTTTAAGCAACCGATATTGAAAGCTTTGGTCGTCTATATATCCATTAGTCTATGGCCTTTGAAGAATGGAAGAATAGTAGTGTTTGTATGCGGGTAATAGAATTGGTTTGAGTTTTGACTTATATCTATTTTCTTGGCATAGGTAGATGAAATTAAGGAACAGTTTATTATAGTATAATCCGAAAAAGTTTCATATTCCATTTAAAACATCCATTTAGTAACACATGTATTTATTTACAACATTTTTAACATTCATTTAACAACAATTTTCACCTCTTTTAGAGCTCAAAATGAAGCTGAAACTCGAAAGTGGAAAGCGGAGGTAAAGAAACTTCAGACTGTCGTAGAACATTTGAAGAAAACTGGCGCCCAAAAGAAATCAGAGTCCTCCTCAACCAACACAAATGCCGACAATTTGCCACAGGCCGCTGTAGGCGGCCTCGTTAACTATGAAATCCAAAGACTGACCAATGAAATTAATGCCTTAAAGGAAGCTAATAAAGCCCTGGAAGAAAAGAAAGTGGTAAGTAAAGCAAAATGAAATGAAGAAATGCGTTCAATGTTCTGTTCGATGTGCTTAGCTCGAGCGTTGCATGCATGTTATGCGCTTACCTTGTCCTCGCTTCCCTGTCCTCTGTCCAGCTGCATTTGCTTCAAAACGATATTCTTGCATTAATTAGCTCCCCCGCAAAACAAACGATGGCAATTACCAAACCCATGGCCCAAAAACAATAGACCGCCTGGAAATGGAATAACTGCAAAACCTCCGGTTCGCTGTCATCACTTCGCTGCAATTGGCCATTGCGACGGGATCTACGAAAGACGGCACTCATCATGCTGTCCCAGTAATGGAGATAGCCGTACTCTTGGGCATTGCGTATCAGTTTATTTATGTAGCCCAAATAGGGGGATCCATAGGGGACTATGTAGACGGCGTGGAACGGGACAATGCACTGAGCCATGGCATGGAAACAGGGTTTGCCATTCAGTGAATGTTTCCGCGAATTGGCTCGAAACACCGATATGTGATACTTCTGCAGATAGGCATAGGAGAGATTGTTGTGTTCGATTAGTTCATTGAAGAAGGCGTCGGGTAGGGGGATAATTTTCTGTCTCAACATCGACTCATAAGGGTTATTCAGATCCAGATAACGATTCAAGTGTTTTATGTGCCTCGGCAATGTTGCCAGGGGATATTTAGATTCCGCCAATTCTTGTAATGTGTTTACATCCGGCAAATATTCCCGATCCACCAGATAACTGGTCAAGTTGCCCTTGAATGCAGCCGATATGAGGAGACCGTAGACAAGCCAAACATAAAAGAAGAGACGGGCCGACATTCTGGATCTTTGCAATCGGGCACGTGGTGTTGAAATTATGCAGGATAACAGGTCCAACAACAGTTTATCTCCCGCAAAGATGTTGCGATAGATAAGTGAGCAGAATATGTAGGCCATGGCCAAGCTGACGGATATCAAAATCCAGACACTGATGCTGAACGAACGAAACAAATTCCAAAATGACGAGGCTATCTTGGCCTTGGGTATCAAAACACACAGATCGTCACGATTCAAAACAATCGTGGACTCGACTCGACCATAAAATGATTCCATCGAGAGGAAACGGATATTGGTGGCCATATCGTCCAACTCATCAAAAGTCTCCTTGAAACACAGATCCTGACTAACGGAATCATTGCCATAAGTGCGAATACGTCTCACCAGTGGAGTGGCATTCAGACGTTCTACCAAGAACGAAGACATTAGACCATCGGTGCCCAAAATGTTGCCACTACTCTCGAATATAGTTCGAATGTTGTCCTGATAGAGGCAAATCTGTAGAGGATTTCCTCTCATGTTCAGAATGTCCTTGGGATATAGCTCATCCAGATTATAGGTGTCCGGTCCAAGAGCAATACGATGCCTCAAAATTTTGGCAAATGGATCATAACGATAAAGCTCAATGTAGCCCTGCTTGGGGTCTGTAAAAACCACAACAACATTCAAAATCCACATTTTCCAGAAGTTCTTGAATGTTGAGAGCAGCCACTTTTCCGTCACATTGTGGGCATCCTGAATCAAAAGCATTATATAAGTCAAGTGCTTGGCAGCTGATTTCTTGCGTATTATGCTGAGGTCCAAGGTCTGGTCTATGTCCCTTAGGATGATCACCAAATGCAGGAGGATGCCATCGTCGGAGATTGTCTTCAAATGGGAATTTTGTTGGTCATTTCTGGGAAAAGGAAAGAAAATGAAGAAATTGAAGCAACTTAAAAATTAAGAAAATCGCCTACCTCAGTGCCACAAAGGATATGCCACAACGATTCAAATCCCTCAATATCTGCCCGGAGTACCTTAGAGATATATCGGTTTCATAGTAGACATGAACTACTTTCAGATGAGATTTACAAAACACTTCGCCCACAAACTCGATGAGATGAGAACGTTTTGGGTCCATCCAGGAGCTATTGAATGCCATCGAATAAAAATTTAGACTTTTGTGCTGCTGCAACTCCGACGTGGAACTACCAATTACCAGGCCGAATAACCACAAAGCCAGCCACATTGTCGACAACTAACTGAATGACTGACCTGGGGAAGAATCCCAAGTGCTTTTATACACATTTCGTTCTTCAGCAAATTCCTTTTTGTTGCATTCGACTCGCCATCGGAAATCCTTATCTAATGACCAAATGTCATTCACTACCTTATCTGGGCCGAATCATCTTTTCAATTTATTTAATGCATGAATTTCTCTGGCAAAAAAAGAAATGAAACCTAAAATCGAAGGGGTGATGCCCAGTGTTTTATTGTTGCTTTTTGAGTGAGGAGCTCGGAAACGCCTCTTTCTAATTCCGAATTAAAGTCAAAATTTGCATTGTGTCGTCCTTACTAACATTGTTTGCATGCCCATAAACGCCTTCTCGTTCTGTTTGATTTTGTGATAGCTGTGAATGTCCGTTCGTCACTTGCCTTCGTTTTGAGTATTCAGTTGTAATCTCTAACAAGGATATTCAATATTCCCTCCTGTTGGGGGAATGCCATTCCGGTTCCGATTCTCTTTTTGCAGATTAATTGCGACGCTGATAGACGAAAAGCAGCTGATATACGCGAATTAAAAGATTCTTATGAAATCCGATTGACTCAAATACAAAAATCTGCCAAAAATGAAATATCACGATTGGTAAGTTGTTGTAGCTGTTGTCGTTTGAACTGTTTCTGAATGCAGAAAACAAAAGAAAAAAATTATTTTTGTTGAGAATTTTTTTAAAATTTATGTAAATATTCAAATTTTGTGAAAACCTTTATTTATAAATAATTTAGATACTAAGTTTTGTTGTGGCTTTAGGGGGAGCTGGTGGAAGTGTGATTGATTTTTAGATTAGTTTGGGTCTAAAGGGAGAGTCCCAGTTTAACATTTCCAAGTGTTAGAAATACTTGGGTCGACGTGACGATTAATTTTCAATTATACAATCCAAATAAAAACTGGTGGTGGCAAGCATGCTTGGATACCTTTTGGCCTAATACTTTGACGGCGAATTCGAAAAGTAGTATTGTAGCCTTTTCAATTGAAAAATTAGATTAAGGCTTTCAAAATGCAAAATGCCGCTCTATGAAGTCCAGCATGGTCCGCAGGCTCGGATTTCGGGGCCCCTCCGATATGGTTAGTTATCCGTTGTTTAAGTTGTAAATTTAAAGTTAATTGGTTGCCCCCTAAAATGGGTTTGAACTTCGCTGATAGACCACCCCAAAATCCGATCCTGAATTGAGCTCTCTCTGAGAGGATGAGTTTGAGCTATTGCCTTTCAAAGCATTAATTTACAGCCACATGGGCTGAAAATTCGGTTCGGACAGTACCGCTACACAGGGTGAGATAAAAAAACTGCAAACGCCATAATTTTTAATTTTTTTTTTCATTTTATTGAATGAAAGCAAAAAATGTTGGATGTTTAGATTTGTTCGAATTGGTCACCTTTGGCACGAACTATGGCCTTCAAACAGCCAATGAAACCGTCACACGCTGTCCGAATGTTGCTCTGCGGTATTTTGGCCCATTCCCGGCGAAACGCTTGCTTGAGGTGATCGATTCTTTTGGTATTTCTTAGTGCCAACTTTGCTTTCCAAAATACTCCAGACACAATAGTCCAACGGATTGGTATCTGGAGATTTTGGTGGCCATTGTGTGCCAGAAATGAAGTGAGAACCTCATTTTGCAACCATTCTTGGGTGGCTTTAAAACACCCTCCAGAATATTTTCGTGATAATATTCGACATTTATTCTGATGCCACGGTCGATAAATACGTGCGGAGAGCGACCATCGGCTGTTATGGCGGCCCACACCATCACCATGCCCGGTGCTTGAGTTCTGGTGGCCAAGCAACTCTTTAGCTCTTTTGATTCTATTTTCTTTCTGTGCGGTGTAAGTTCTTGCACTTCTTGGAATTTCAATGGCTTTAACACGAGCTCATTTTTCGAGCTCATTTTTCAATATTTGCCAAATGGAATATTGCGATATGTTTAGCTCACGAGCCATTTTTCGGCCACTGCGGCGCGGGTTTCGATCAAGTCGCTTTTGTTACTTTTCGAACCATTTCTGCTGATGTTGATGTTTTCTTCCGTCCACTTCCTTGACGTTGGGCTACGCTATTAGTATCACGGTAACGAGCGATGGTACGGGACACAAAAGATTTATTCACATTTAAGTGCTGGAGTGCCCTAACGATAGCCACTTGTGGTTTTCCAGCCAAATATAAGGAAATCACACTATCACGCTTAAATTCCATCACGAATAACTTTTTTTCTGGAAAATTCGGACCAAAATGCTTTTGTACGCTTATAAACAATTTAATGAGCTGTCACTGGAATAATTTTAGCTGTTGTCGGACGAGTGGCTTGGAAATGACAGCAGTTTGAAGTTGGTTGCAGTTTTTCATCTCACCCCGCATACCATCTCCAACTACCAAATTTAATATCATTTAGTACTTTTCGTGATTTTCTTGGTACGTATTTCCAAATTCATCTCCATGTATCAACTCGATTTCATAAAAAAATATTCAAATGCCGAATATTAGGTTTTCAACTCTACTTTTTCCAAAATTTAGTACGATTTAATACTTTACGTACTTGAAAATCCGCCATTACATATCAACCACATCGCAACAAAATTGATTCTAAACATACAACAAATACTTTTTTCTACTTATTTGTCGAATTTAAGTGTTCAATGGTGGTCATGACATAACCTTGTAAATATAATGGGTTAGCCAAAAAATGGTTGAGAAACTCATTAATTGGTAATGAAAATGTTTGTTGGGAGAATTTTATGCCGGCCAGAAATAAATGTTTTTTCAGGAATGTCCTACGAACATTTCCAATTCGAATCTTGAAACAAATTCTTTTCTGAGTCATTGAACCTAAAATACAAAATTATTGCATTTTTTTATTTATGATTTAAAATTCTCTCGTCCTGTTACACCTTCGTATTATTAACAAAACCCTGCAATTTTAGACTCATTGATGTCTGGCCGTTTTTTGCGACTCCGCTTGAATAGCCTAGCCTCGGGGCTTCAACAAATTAGAGTTCATTCATATTTTGGTCAGACGACGGATTGAAGCAGACAGTTTGGATTTTATGGACAATGCTTATTTGCACAAGCAGATACGGATGTGTGTGTGTGGAGGCCAGCTTAGCCTTTGCGACTTGTGGCAGAATGTCTGCTTACACACAACGTGTCCACATGAATGAGTCAGTCAGACAGACAGACGCAATGGCAAACATTTAGGATAAATCGAATCAAAATATTTTCTCACGTCTTTTTTTACGACCTCGCTTTGTTCGCGGGATAGATGCATGGGGCGATTGGTAGGAGTTTTTGCTGCGGTTGTCCTAAGCTAACGCATAATTTGAACTGACCACATGTGTTTTTTTGTTTGGTTTTTGCTCAGTTGTTGCATATTTAGCAACATTGTTCGACAAATTGCGTAAACTTTGGTCGAAAAGGATTGGACCTCCAGACCACAATATTACAACCGCAATATTACAATATTAATATTGCCGAAGTGTGGGAATTGTTTAAAGTATTGGATTTACACATTCAATTTTATAATGAAGAAGATGTGTGTGTTTTTTTAAGATTAATCAAGATAATTTTGAAAATTTACAATTGAATAAATAATAAGAAAGAATGAATAAATAAAGAATAAAATAAATGAATTTTCAAAAAATTAAAGATTGTAAGCCAAGAAATATTCCCTTCAAAATTAAATTTATATTTTATTTGATCTAATTGTAATTATATTTTTCATCCCAATTGTTTTATCTTTTCACCATTTTCTTTTATTCCTTTCTTTTGTTTTTCCCTATAGCTAGAGGAAATAAAAACCAAAGAACGCAACATTGGGCAACTGAAAAAGGATTTACAGACATTACAAAACTCAAAGAGTTTTACCAGCAGAAATGCAACGACAAATAAAACAAATACTTCAACGAATAAAACGACGACGCTTAATTTAGATAAAAAACCAAAGATTAGTACTAACAATAATGGCAACAACAACCATAACAACAATGTTAATAATAACAATGCAACTACTTCAAACAACAATAATAATAACAATACCAAGCAGATGCTGCCATCTAGCGGTGTTTGTTGCAACTGCAAACAACAGTTGCAGCCGCAACAGCCGGAATACCCCGATGCAACAGCGTCGAACGAGGTTGCATCAAACATCCCCCGCACACCTGTTAGAAAGGAATGCAACGTGGAAACAGAAGAGAAGGAAACCCAAACAGAGTTGGAGAACTCAGATGAGGTGAGTTCACAAGTTTTGTTTTCAATTTTTTGGGGGGATTTTTTTCTTTTAAGTTAATGCGACGGGTTTTAGAATTAAGCTATTTGTACGTAAAATATGAAAGCAATACATTTTATAAAAAATAGGTTGTGGAAGAACATAGTCATTGATTATTTCAATTCTGATATTCTAGTTTAATGTGAGCGTTATAAAATCGAAATTAAATTAGAAATGTTGTAAATGTGACTGGAATTTGAAACGTTTATTGTCTTATCTCAATAATGTTGAAAAAAATACCAAGGCGTATATCCAAACATTTGCAGACATATTTGTATATACTAAAAATTTGTATTTATGCTAAAAATTCGCATGCATTCACTTGGAGTCTAAATCATTGAATTCGGAGGAGTTTGATTCTTATATTAATCGTAACCAACTGCTTCTTACAGATTACAGATCAATATTATGGTTTACATAACCAGTATCGGCTTTGAAATGTCGTGAATGCTAAAAAAATTGAAGCATTCTATCCCTGAATAGGGTATGTTTTAACGATCTCTACTGACATTGAACCTAAAATACAAAAAACTTCAGCAGTATTCTAAACAGTGTGTACCCCCAGCCTTAACTCATGATTATTCAAACTATTGACTCTTTAGGGGGGAAGTTACGAAGCAGTTGGCCTATATTGACTAATCCGTATCTAACCTAAGACTGATAGAAATATTACAACGTGACAGATTTGGACTATCGCCTACTTCCTGTACTTTATATAAGGTATGTGCAAATTTTTGGAAAATGATAATAGATATAGCGGAGCGAAGTATTCCGTTTTCATATTTCATCTAATACAGCTAAGAATATTGTTACGCGCAAAATTTGAAGGAAATCTAACATTTATATCTATTTTTATGCGAAACCAAAAATTCCGACATATTCATATTAGATTTCTGGTTAAGATAAATATTTAGATATAGCAAGTTGTAAAGAATCACCGACTTGTTTCACAAGTTATGACAGAAAAAAGTATTGGAAATTGTGACCCTTTGTAGGGGAGGTACCAGAAGGAGTGGACCGATATAGCCCATCTTCACACCAGACCTTGGGCTAATAACAATATTGTGTAATTTGAAGAGAACTGGATGCTTATTTCGGATTTTATGATCGTTTTGGTTATTCAAAATTTTAACACTTTGTGGATGAGGGACCAGAAAGAATGGCCCGATCTCTTCCAATTTTTAAAAAGTCTTGTTTTGATGGAAATATTGAGATTTGCCAAGTCTGAATGGAATCGAATGTTAACTTCGTGCTTTATGAGCCTCATTAATATTGCAAATTTTGACCCTTTGTAGTATAGGAACCAGAAGGAATATTCCGATCTCTACCATCTTTATAACAGATCTTGTGTTGATGGAAATATTGAGATGTGCTAAGTCTGAATGGAATCGGACGTTAACTTCGTACTTTATGAGCTTCATGAATATTCAAAATTTTGACCCTTTATGGTATAGGAACCAGAAGGAATATTCCGATCTCTACCATATTTGTGTAATTTGAAGACAATCTTACATCACATTTTATAAGAGTTATAAATTATTTTCTTTGAAAATGTTGACATTTTGGGGGGGAGGTAGCAGAAGGAGTTGACCGATATTGCCCATCTCCGAACTCGATCTAAGTTTGACAATAATATTACGATGTAAATCATAAATTTGGATCAAATCGGATACCCCCTTCGAGAGTTATCGTGTGCACCAGCCAGACAGACGAACGGACATCGCTAGATCGACTACAAATGTCATGAAACGGATTTGGTCCAAAGAGTCTTAGGGTCTAAAGCCTTTATTTCGATGAGGCACGTTTTGGCCGCATCAAATGATATATACTCTCTGCACCCATATGGCGGAGGGTATAAAAAAATAGAAAACAAAAATTGTCGACCAATTTTGTGTGGAAACAAACGATAAATGTAGGAAGGGTATCATTCCCATACCAAAACTCACCACAAAACAAATACCTGTGCATGTTCGTCGTCAAACACTCACAAAAGCCGGTTTTCAACCACAACATCATACCCAAGACATTACCGTTGTTGATGCTTCGAACGACAACGACAACAACAAACGCAAACAAATTTCACACTCTCCCTCCCATTCGCTGCCGAATGCTGCCAAGTCGCTGTACTCTTTCAGTTGGTTGCATTGTTTGTTTACCTTGCCGTTGGATTCCAGCGATTCAGTTGTGTTTGAGAATTTGAGCCGAGTTTATGTGAATGCGGGTCGTCGTCAGGTGCGCATGCGTGAGACGCGAACATTTTTATCGACAAATAAATGCTAATGAATCTTCAAATCAAGCAGAAAAAAAGTGAAAATTGATTGTTCAATTATGGCAAATTAAAAAAAAGAAAATAATAAAAAATATGCACACATGGCATTTAAACAAAATTGCAGCAAATTAACAACATTCAAGCGCTGTCATAAAAATAGAAAATAATAAAGAGAAGAGTATTGCCATCGAATTCTTCCAAAAAGGAAATGCAAAACCATTTGTGAAACGCTTTATTTGTTTGTTATTATTTATGGGCCAATGTTGTGATGGTCCCCGTTGGTCGGTTGGCCTTTAAAACAACTCAACACCAAGACCTATTAAATGGCATGAAAACAAAATTAAAAAAAGAAAATAATAAAAATAAAAATAAAACAAAACGGCAAAACCCCATAACCAAAAGAACCAATGTCTCCATGTTTTTGCCTTATCGCGTTTTCTGTTTTGGTTGGCGAATAAATTGAATTGAATAAATTGCAAAACGTCAAAAAAACGAAAAGAAAAAAAGATTCTCGTAGTGCGTTAAAAGAAACATTTGTGAAATTCAATACCAGTACGACAAGTTATTTGAGTAAATCATATTGAAAAGGCGGTAATAAGATATTCAAAATACCAACAAACACAAAAAAAAACACAAACAACAACAACAAACAAGTGCATTTTTACCCCTCAAAAAGAATAAGGTTTCCGTTGAGCCTTCAAATCATTTACTTGGTGCATTAATCACAAATCATTGGGACTATACACCTGCATACACCCAAACTAACAGAAAAAAGGTCAATTTTAAGGGAAGAAGAGAGCGGAAGAGAGATATTGGGGAGAGATAAAACCCAAATAAACAAATGTGTACGTCAACTCAATGTTTATCTTTCCTTTAAGGAGCCAAGTAAATGCCACTCGATCGTCTTAATGTTGAGTAATTTGAGAGGTTCCTTTTTGTTTGTGTGTGTGTGTGAGAGATGTGTCTGGAATTTCAATCATCATTGAATTCCTGTTTTCGGGACTCAATATTGTTGTGTCGATGTTTGTCTTTGCGAAGCCTTTGGCCGTTTGTGATGCCACTTTAAATTGTTTCACATGGCTGCTCGCCAGCCTGCCAGCTCCAGCCTGTTTGTCTGTAATGTCATACTTTTACATGCGGTTTCCATCACTGACTGGCTTCCCAATCATGGGTCGTCATCATCACCATGGCCATTCCTTGCCATGGGGGACACATCGTCATCGTCAACATCTTAATGACAGAGGATTTATGTTTTCCTGTTTATGTTGTGGAGGCACCTGCAGGTTTCAAGAGTGAGAGAGAGAGAGAGGCAAAAGGTTTTGGGTAAACATTTCATTTAACTCAGCAGCTGAAAGGTTCTTTCTGCTAAAACATTTAATCTTATTGTAATGGCATATGTATTTATAAGCGGAAACTATTACCCCACCTATGTTTGGAGATCAGGGATCGTTTGTGTGAAGATTTGTTAGTTTTTTTGACCGCCGAAAAGTTGTGGACTTCTTAGGCCTGCATATTATGTTTAAAAGGGGAAAATCCGTGACCAAAGGTTTAAATATTTTTATGCCTCCTAGGGTGAGTCCCGAATTGTTTGATAAGGGAAGGGAAGAGTATTTGCAATTTTAGAAGATAAGAGTTGGTGTAAATCCAAGGTAAATAAACTATAATGGGTACAGTAGCCATTTTGGTAATGAACAATTGACAAATATGACTTTTAAGCACCTCCATCTCTCATACGGCTTAGGGAAAAATAGGTCCTACATGGCCAAAATCCTTTTGTCAAACTCTTTGGCCATTCCAGTTCAAAATTCCTGTAAAAAAACTTACCACAAATCGGTATTTTGAATTCTGAATGAATATGGTATTTCCGAATGAAAAACAATCCAAAATCTCCAAGATTTGATATAGCTTCCACCATATAACGGCACCGCTCTGTTAAAGTATTTTATATGAATTGTCCATAATTCCCCATGGACTTGGCTTTAACTTCACATTTGGGGTTCTCAGTGATAAAATCAGCTTCCTGTGAAATTTTTCGAATTTGGTCCATGTTTTGATATATAGCCCGATTAAAGGTATCTGGGCGTTTTAGTCATATTTTTTAACGGAATTGACAAATTGTGTTCAAAGAGGTATGACACCATTGTCGCAAAGAACATCTCTTAAAGATCTACATTTAAGTACATCCCCATGTCGTCAGATATTCTGTATTTTGAAGTCATTAAACGCAATTTACATCCGAAATGTCTGAAATTCGGTTTCTAGAGTTTTGAAAAACTCCTTGTAAAAATTAATAATTAAGGGTCCAGTCTTCAGTATAGTTCCACTATATTGGCCCATATTCGAAGGTATTTGTAGTTTTAATGGAACTTGCTCGAATCGAAATCGGACTCACTACTTGGCAAAGAGTAAAATAGTTGAGTTTATGTTCCAACATTTTAAAGAATTGCCCATTGATTGTTTACATTACCTTGGCGCATGTGGCTTCTCAATTTTTGCTGGCGTCATTTCTCTTGCGAAGATCCCAGTACAGGAATAGAGAATCATTTTAAACTAGTGATTATTTTTCCAATCCAACTCTTAATACATTTTTCTCTCCAAATTGTTTGATTTATTACTTTGCCATTCGTTTCATGAATTGGCATCACAAATAAAAAAAAACAGACATTTCAATTCCACAGCAAATTAACAAAGCGTC